GAAGAAATAGGAAGAAAAATATAACCAAACTAAACAAAAATGGCAATAAATAAGTACATATCAATAATCACCTTAAATGTAAATGGACTGAATTCTCCAATAAAAAGATACAGGGTAGCTGATTGGATAAGAAAGCATGACCCATCTATATGTTGTTTAAAAGAGACCCACCTCACAACAAAAGACTCACATAGGTTGAAAGTGAAGGGATGGAAAAAAAAATCTTCCAAGCAAACAGAAAGAAAAAAAAGCTGGGGTAACAATACTCATATCTAATAAAATAAATTTCAAAATGAAGGCCATAGCTAGAGACAAAGAAGGCTACTACATAATATTGAAAGGATCTAGCCAACAGGAAGATATACCTTGGTAAACATATATGCACCCAACATAGGAGCACCAAAATATATTAAAAATCTTCTGGAGGACTTCAAAGGAGAAATCGACAGCAATACAATCACAGCAGGGGACTTCAACACCCCGCTGACATCACTGGATTGATCCTCTAGGCAAAAAATTAACAAGGAAACAGAGACTCTAAATGAAACACTAGATCAAATGTATTTACTAGATATCTACAGAGAATTAAACCCCAAAACTGCAGAATTCACAACCTTCTCAAGTGCACATGGGACATTCTCAAAGACAGACCACATGTTAGCACACAAACTAAGTCTCTACAAGTTCAAGAAGACTGAAATCATATTAACACCTTCTCAGATCACAATGGCATGAAACTAGAAATCAATTGCAACAAGAACATGCAAAGACATTGGAACACATGGAGGCTAAATAGCATGTTATTAAACAATGAATGGGTTACCAAGGAGATCAAGGAAAAAATTAAGAGAACCCAGAAATTGACCCAAGACAATATGCACAATTAATATTTGACAAAGGTGGCAAGAGCATACAGTGGGGTCAAGACAATCTCTTGAATAAATGGTGTTGGGAAAATTGGACAGCTACTTGCAAAAATATGAAGCTAGACCACCAACTTACACCATACATGAGAATAAACTCAAAATGGATAAAAGACTTAAATGTAACTCATGAATCCATAAAAATTATAGAAGAAAATGTAGGCAACAAAATTTCAGACATTATATGCAGCAGAATTTTCACTGATACAACACCTAAGGCAAGAGAAACAAAGGAAAAAATAAACACATGAAACTACTTCAAACTAAAAAGTTTCTGCACAGCAAAAGAAACAACCATCAAAATGGAAAGAGATCCCACTATTTGGGAGACCATATCGCCAATGATGCATCAGATAAGAGGTTAATTTCCAAAATATATACAGTGCTCATACAACTCAACAAAAGGAAGACACTCTAATCATCAGAGAGATGCAAATTAAAACAACAATGAGGTATCTATCACCTCACACCTGTCAGAATGGCCGCCATCAACAAATCATCAAACAACAAGTGTTGGTGAGGGTGTGGAGAAAAGGGGACTCTAGTACACTGCTAGTGGGAATGCAGACTGGTGCAGCCACTATGGAAAACAATATGGTGTTACCTCAAAAAATTAAAAATTGAACTTCCATTTGACCCAGTGATCCTACTTCTAGGAATATACCCTAAGAAGCCTAAAACACCAATCAGAAAGAATATATGTACCCCCATGTTTGTAGCAGCACTATTTACAATAGCTAAGATCTGGAAACAGCCCAAATGTCCATCAGTAGACAAATTGATAAAAAAGCGGTGGTATATATACACAATGGAGTACTATGCAGGTGTAAGAAAGAAAGATCTCTTATCCTTTGAGACGATGTGGAGGGACCTGGAAAGCATTATCCTAAGCGAAACAAGCCAAGCAGAGAAAGACATGATCTCACTTATTTGTGGAATATAATGAACATAACAGTCTGAGGAACAGGGTAGACCCAGAGATGTGGAAATAGGGTACAGACTGACAACCGTCAGAGGAAGAGGTGGGAGTAGAGATAAACCACAGAACTTATATGCATATACGTATAACCGATGGACACGGACAACAAAGCCAGGGATGGCGTGTGGATTGGGGGTGGGGTGGGAGTGGGGAGGAGGATGTCAATGGGGAAAAAAGGAGAAACATCCGTTAATAAAAATAAAAAATAAAAGAATGACAATATTGGCAATAACCAAAAAAAAGGAAAGTGAAAAAACAACCCACAGAATGGAAGAAAATATTTGCAAATTTTATATCTGATAAGATACCTGTATCCATAATATGTAAAGAACTTATAACCCAAAAATAAGATAAATAATCCAATGCAAAATGAACAAAGAGCCCTGGCAAGTGTGGCTCAGTAGATAAAGTGTTGACCCACTCACTGAAGGGTCACGGGTTTGACTCCTGGTCAAGGGTACATCCTGGGTTGCAGGTTCCATCCCAGGCCCAGGTCAGGGCATGTGTAGGAGGCAACTAGTTGATGTGTCTCTTTCACATCTATGTTTCTCTACCCCCCTTCCCCTCCCTCCCTCTCTTCCACCCTCTCTAAAAATCAATGGAGAAAATATTCTTGGGTGAGGATTAACAAAAAAATTAAAATTAAAAATTAAAAAATAAAATAAAAATGGACAAAGAATCTGAGTAGACATTTCTCCAAAGAAGATATATGAATGGCCAATAAGCACATGAAGAGGTGCTCAACATCATTAGTCACTAGGAAAAGGCAATGAAAACCGCAATGAGATATCACTTTACACCCTCTAGGATGCTATAATATATTTTTTAAAAAAACAGATAGTAACAAGTGTTGACAAGAAAGAAAAGAAATTGGAACTATCATACATTACTTGCAGAATTGTAAAATGCTGCAGCCACTGTGGAAAACAGTTTGGCAGTTTCTCAAATTGGAAAACATAGGCTTACCATAAGATCAAGCAAATCTACTCCTAGGTATATGCTCAAGACAAATGAAAACATAAGTCCACATAAAAGCTTGTACACAAATAGTACAGTAGAATTATTTTTAATAGTTGAAAAGTAGAAACAACCCAAATGGCCATCAACTGATGGATGGATGAATAAAATGTGGTCTATCCATACCATTACACATTATTCAGCAATAAAGAATTACGTTCTGATTCATGCTACAACATGGATGAACCTTGAAAACATTATGCAAAATGAAAGAAGCCCATCACACAAAATGCCCAGAACAGGCAAATCTATCAAGACAGAAAGTAGATTAATAGTTTCCGGGGCTTGGGGAATGGGAGAAAGGAAAGTGACTACTAATGGACACAGAATTTTTTGGGGGGGTGGGGGGCAAGGAATGAAAATGTTTGAAAATTAGATCATGGTGATGGTTGCACGACTTTGTGAATATACGAAAAACTACTGAATTGTACACTAAAAGGGGTGAATTGTATGCTGTGTGAACTATTTTTCCACAAAGCTGTTATAAAACTAATAAAGACAAGAAAATGAAAAAGATCTCTGTGAACTCCACCAGTTCCCCTGCCAATCCACTTTGGAGGATGCTGTAGCCACCACAGACTGACTAGTATTAATGTGAAGCAGAGATTAAAGTGGAAAGCTGGGGAATTGCATAGAAGAAAGTTTAGCCATCTTTTCCCTAATAGAAATCCATGCCCTAGGCTTGGGGTGGCTAGAAGATTGTCAAAACTCTCAGTGACCCTTAAGAATAAAATATACTTCTTTTATGCACTGATGGCACCAGAAAATGGTCCATTTGAAAAACCAAACCCATCATCTGAAAGAGTGCTACACAGATTCAGAATGGGGATTTGGCTTCAAAGGCAAATTATACCTACAAAACCTGTTGCTTTTCTTAGTTATAAGATAGTCATGGGGATGTAAGGTACAGCATAGGGAATACAGTCAATAATATTGTAATACCTATGTATGGTGCCAGGTGGGTACTGGAAAAGGTGGGGGGACACTTTGTAAAGTATATGATTGTCTAACCACTATGCTGTATAATTGAAACCAATACAAAATAATATTGAATGTAAATTGTAATTGAAAAAAGTAAAAGGAAGAGAAAAAAAAAAAAAAAACACCTGTTGCTTTTCTTTCTATAACAGTGTAAGAAAAAAATCCATAGTAGCCGCTGAGAACTCAAGGTACCTAGAGCAGATTTTTGTGATGGATCTTGAGCATTTATGTTCGTGACCAGTCAGGCTCACTTGAAATCTTACACAGCAGCAGGTTTCTGCCCTCAATACCTTGCTCAATTTCACAACAGGGAAACTGAGGAGAGTGACAGCTCTTCTTAAAGCCAAAGCCTACTGGAAAAGGACAGTCTGTCCAGAGCATTGTTCCTGCCCTCCCTCCAATGTCTGTTACAGCTGGTTAGACAGATATCATGGAAGCTCTTTTGGTGACGATTCTGTGCTGACATCATCAACAACAGAAAGTCTTCATGAGGATTAAAAAGATCATGGGAATGTAATGTACAGCTAGGGAAAAGAGTCAATAACATTGTAGTAACTATGTACAGGGACAGATAGTTATAAACTTACTGTGGTCACTTTGTAAGAAATATAAATGTTGAATCACTGTACTGTACACCTGAAACTAATATAATACTGTATGTTAACTATAATCAGAAATACGTTAATTTAACTTTTTTTTTTTAAAGAGAAATTACATCCCACATCTACTGAAAGTTGGGCCTGAGGGTCATGAAGCTAGCTATCTGCCATGGGGAAACATGAGGTAAGACAGGCAAAGAGGGAAAACTGCCATTATATTACTGTCTTCTTCCCAGGAAAATGTGGGGCAGTGCAAGGAAGAGAGGTCAGAAGACATGGAAAGGGAGGGAAGAAGGGAAGAAAACATACCACGGCCTTGTCCCCACTTGCCCCTTATGTCAGGATAAGTCCTATAGCTTAGAAGCTTCTTTTTATGTGACTGGAAAATGGCAATCCCATCACAGAGATAAGTAGGGTAAGACTACATCCATAAAATAACACCCTTTTGAAGATTTAAAAGGAAGTCTCCGACCCTGCTCTCAGTTATCTTGCTCTACTTACTTTTGGAATGTTGGATGGGGTTTCACAGTTGCTACAGGAGCTGGACCGCCAATAGTGGTACAAGGCTCTTGATTTTCTGTAGCTTGATTTTCAGGTCGTAATTTCCTACGGATAGGCTTTGAAGGGGGCTGAGAATATGATATGTCCTGTGGATTAAGAATAAAACAAAATCCTCCAAAAGTTAAAAGATTAAATACTCACCCATCATGCCAATGACCTATGTTCCTCTAAGCCCAACCTCAAGGTCAGGCATGTACTCTAGTGAAACTCCACACCCAAGGATATGTGGCTGATTCATGGCTTGGCAAGAGCTGGAGGGACATGGGTATCAGATTCCAGTGGCCTTTCTTTCTTTCCTCCTTTTTTTTCATGCTTGCAGTCTATTACCTTTTTTTTTTTTTTTTTGTCACCTGGAAGGACACAGGAATCAGATTCCCAGGGCTCACCAACCCGCCTTTCCTTACTATTTTATTTATTTATTTATTTTTCTATCCTCACCCGAGGATATTTTTCCATTTTTTGTACAGATAGAGTGGGAGGGAGAGAGAGGAAGGGAGAGAGAGAGAAACATCGACGTGAAGGGACACATCGAGTGGCTGCCACCCGCACGACCAACCAGGGCCAGGGACAAACTGCAACCTAAGTACGTGCCCTTAGCGGGAACCGAACCCGGGTCTCTCCGGACCGCAGGCCGACGCTCTAACCGCTGAGCCAAACTGGCCAGGGCTCCTTACTATTTTAAATGCTGTGTGCATCTCGTAGCACAGAGCCTTTTCTACTGAAAAAAAAAATTCACTCTTGCCTCACTTTGGGGCTTTCTGGAATATAAGTTTTCAAGTTTGTAATGGTTTTAGTCATATGCTTAGCATTCTCCTAACCCCAATCATTACACAAAGTCAAGCTTAAGAGCCCTGGTGTCTTCTGAAAGGAGACAGTTGGCCTGCTTCACCTGTGTTCCTGAGCCCAGAGCCCACTCTCTTTGACGAGAGAAGGGCCTGAAAAATAGGCAAGGACAAGAAGAGGGTGACAAGATGAAAGGACAGCACAATGAGTGAGTGGTGCTTACTGAGCAAATGACCTGGGACTCAGTGACGTGGGTGGGCTGAGGTGCAGATGCTGAAATGCAGAAGAGACCACAGCACAGAGACAAAACTGGGGAGACTACCATGCCCCCAAAAGGTGCTCCCAGAGGCTTAGCAGTGTGCGGGTTTCGGCTACAGGCATCTGTCTCTCCCCACCTCAACTCTTGATCTTGCCAACAGCAAAGCTGCCATATTTAGCTGGAAGGTTGAAGAGGGAAGTACAAACTGTCAACGACATCAAGGTCCAGCCCAGGAATCATCAGGACCCCATCTTCACAAAGAACTCAAATTCTAGGAAATCTGGGTCATTAACATTCATGTCAGGACATAAAAACCTTAAAACGGTACATATGCTCACAGAGGCAAGAAGCACAAGGGAGGGCTTACAATGCCCCGACAGTGGCACCTTTGTACTGGCCTTACCTTCTTTGTTGGACTACTCTCTGCAGCTTGGGAAGGGGCTCTGTTCAGCTGTGGGTGTGGCTCAGCTTCGGACGCTTGTTCAGACTGCAGCAAAGGATTAGAGAGAGGATAAAAATGTAAAACCATAACCACCCAAATATATAATGAAGAGCACTTAGGAAAATAGTCACTGTGAGGAAACTGATTTAGACCAAGTTGCAGCCAAGCATGGGCAGGTCTGCTGATCCTTATGAAAACCTTCCGTAGACCCTGCTCTTCTCTCCCATCCTTCCTTCCAGCATTGTTGAACCTTAGGAAAAGGAGCCTTCTATAAGTGGACATATATATTGCTAAAAACTAACACCTCACAAGCTCAAACAAAAAATAACAAAGCTTATTGGAAAAACAGGGTTGAGAACGAAGTTAAAATTGTAATCCAAGCACTAACAAAAACAATAATCATACTTAAAAACACTGAAATTTTAAAAAATATATTAAATTCCTAATAAAGAAACATTCTAGTAGATGTGACTCTGTACCTTAAATAAGATGGGAGGAGGGTAAACATGATGGAAGGAGTAAACAGAGGGGCTCCAGCTGCTAAATGGTACAAAAGCAGTGAATAAATGCACAAAGATGGGCAAAAACTGCCCCAAAGCCCTTCCAGACAAAGCAGGCACTGAAGAGCCAAGCAGAAGAACCAAGGAGACTGGGTGCCCAGTCTCCCCAATCCCCCACCCCCACCCCATTCAGCTGTGCCAGAGCACTTTGCCTTCAGCTGTTACTGGCCAGTGCCGCAAAACATTAACATTCTGAGGGAAAACACCCTCCAAGTGAACTAACATCACATCTACATCATACTGACATTGGTCCTCTATTTACCCACAAACTAATCTGTGTTACAGAAACACACACAAGAAACACAAGAGCCCGCCTTAGTGTTCCCCCTTGATCCCTAACCCAGGCTCTTCTGAATGTGGCTTCTTCCTTCCTGACTCTAGTGAAAAGGCTTGTACCCAAGGACACTACTCTCCCATTTAGCAGATTCTAGCTGCCTCTTCTAGTCTTCTCTAGGCCAGTGCCTGGCATCTGATGAGCCATGATCTCCTATTTATAATCATTATTTTTCTTTTCTGTTGACTCTTATTATTCCTCAGATGTAGGTTTTCTCAAGGTTCTGTCAGTTACCTGTCCTTCCTCTTTCCCAGAGTAATTATTTTTCCCATCTGCTCCTACATTTTCACCACCCTAGCTAGAAACCTCAGTTCCCAACCAACTCCCACCTGTTCCAAATCCATTTTACAGGTAATCAATACACCTGATTTCTAGTCCCAACTTTTTCTTATAGCCTTCTCTTTTCCATTAAGGATAACTGTATTATTATTATTACTGTTAATAGATACCACAAAACACCCAATACTTACATGTGTCACACATTGTTCTAGGTGCTTTGCATGCATTATTTCATTTCATCATCACAGCCTAGGAAGTAATTATTATCCCCATCTTATTAGTGAAGAAATTAAGGATTGAAGAGGAACCCACCCAAGATCACACAAATTGTAGGGTCTGAACCCGGGCCTGAGGTCCTAAAGCTGGTTGCAATCACTATGCTCTATATTTCCTGGGCCAAGAAATATTTATTGAATAGCTACTACAGGCAGGCCCCATGCTAGCACTGGTATTAAAGGATGAATAAGCCCCAGACCTTGCTTACAAGGAGCTTGAAGTCTAGTGGGAGAGGCAGATAAATGAACAGGCAAACATGCTTCAGTGGAATTAGGATAATGGTGGGGCAGTGTGGGGACTCCAAAAGCACCCAGCCTTTTGGGTCAACAAAGACTGTGATATCCCAGTCGAAGGTGATATACCAGCTGAGATCTGAGTGATAAGCAAGGTGTAGCCAAGCAGAGGAGCACTGCGTGGAGACAGTGAGGAAGGAGGCCCAGAGGGCCTCCTAAGCTCCAACACCCAGAATGTCAGCCCGGGTATCACAAGAACACTGAGGCCAGTCCCCAAGGTGGAAACCACAGGAGAAGCAGGTGTGAGAAAGAGCTCACTTTGGGGCATACTGAGTTTGAAGCATGTTGGAAACATCTAAACAAAGCCATCCAGTAGCTTGCACTGTCAGGAGTCTGGGGGATACAAGCACTCATCCACATTCCCTGGGGTTCTGACAAATGGCATCTTACTTCAAGATCTGCCGGACTACTGTCAGCTTTATTAATGGCTGAGTGAGGGCCCAAATAAGCTCGCAAATGCAGGACTTCCCATTAATTGTGCTAAAGAATTGTAACTTGGACTCAAGGTCCTTTCTTGCCTTCTACCTGAAAATCTACTGCTTGGAACACATATGTCTGACCCCAAGTCTATGCGCGCAGCTCCCTGCAGGGACCACGAGTGTACATCGCACATTCCACCAGCCAGACAGAGAGAAAAGGAGTGACAGAGCAGTCACTCTCCTTTCAATTGGTCAGCTCCCTTCTATCCTCAGGCAGACAGAGAGAAGCATTTGCCCTAAGGCTCCCTTTCCTAGGGAGATAAATAAAGCCTCCTTGTGAAAATACTAAAGAAAATGATAATTTGGATCCTCTTTTAAAAAAAAATTACACTTCTGAGCACAGCAGAAGTAGCAGCTGTGTTTGTCACTGCCTTCATTTTCTCTTAACCCTCTCTAAAAACACAAACAACAATGCGCTGGAGGTTGGGAAGGATGAGGAAGCAGTTGTGAGATGTGTCTGAATTTCTTTTTTCATTTACAAATATACCTTCCTGAAGTGGCATCTAGAGGCCTGGGTTTTCTAGCTTTATGACTAGTAACAAACAACTCCTCAGTGTTATGTCAGGTTGGTTGTAACCATCAATCTCCTTATAAAGAAACTCAAGACCTCCTCATCCCTTTCAACTGCTCCATAGACTGATTGTAAATGGATCCATCTGTTGAACATACAGAGGCGTGAATCTCGTGAGGAATCAGGAAGGTCCTGAAAAGGCAGAGCCTCACCAGAGCCAGAAATTATCCAAGGAAAAGAGATGGAGAAAGAAAACTAGCCTTGTGGGGGAAAAAACAAAACAAAACTAAAGATGAGATTTAGACATGCAAAAGACTTTCTTCCTAATAAACTATTTCACTTTTCTTCATGAAAAATAGTATAAGGCTTACATTAGACTTAGTAGCTGGAAAGCAGAACAAACCAGGGAGATTTCTTTGCTTTTCTTCAGACTTTTCCAAGTTAACAATTTTGGGAAAATGATAATCCACAAAAGCAGGGTTTTTACTCCATGTATTAAAGAAATGGGGGAACAACTCTGCTACTAATGTGGACAATATGCCTTTGTCCAAAAGTTTAGGTTGTCTGAACTGAAATCCAATGCTTAAATTTTGTGAAAGAAACAAATGTTTAGATTACAATTAATACTGCAAACAGCAATTCTCCCTCGTGACTCTTGTGTAGCAGCATACACCGAGCCAGGATGCAGCAAGCCAGAAAAAATGTACTTTTAGTTGACAGCTCAATGAAATTTGAGCTAAGGTTCTATTTAAATATATATATCTCACATTTTAATATTAATACTCCCCTACCCACAAATGAGCAATATATTTCATTCTAATTTTGTAACAAAAATCCTGGATAGGTCACATGGATTTGGAGGTGCTGCCACTCAGGATGTAGAAACTTGTTCTGGGGCTCGCCCGTTCCTGTGGTTGATGGGACAACATGGCTCCTGCTCAGTTGGCTGCCCAGAAATGGACATAGGCCCAGGGAAGCTAAGCACTTTGCTTTTCTACCAGAAGAAGAGTTCATTCAGTTAGTCAATTATACAAGTATTTATTTCATATATCTGATGTGTCACTTTCCAAGAATCCTCATCTCAGGTTCTGGACCCGAGACACCAGGCAAAGTGCTCCCAGACAAGGGGAGTTAAAGTGCTCTAGTATGTTCCTCCATGGTCTCTCTTTCAGATCATGTGTTCTGGGGGAAGCCAGCTGTCACACTTTGAGGACACTCAAGCAGTTCTAATAAGGAGCCCATGTAGCAAGGAAGTGAGGCCTCCTGCCTACAGCCATGTGGAGGAACCATCTCTGAAGAGGAGCCTCCAGCCTTAGTTGAGCCTTCAGATTATTACAGCCCTGACTGACATCTTGCCTGCGGCATAATGAGACAGCTTGAGCCAGAACCACCCAGATTAGTTGCTCCTGAATCTCTAACCCACAGAAACTATGAGACAATAAATGTTAATTGTTCTAGGCCTCTGAAAAAATATTCTAGTATGTCTGGAATTTGGGGTCTAGTAGGGTGGAATAAGGGTAAGCAGTGGAGAAGAATGGGAGAACTGAAGTTGGATAATGGCCAGTGGAGTGGATCATACATGGTCTTACAGACCATTGATTGCTCTGGATTGTCCATGAGCCATTCATCACCATTCCCTGCTTCCATGCTCTTCCCTACACTGCAGGGGGTAGAAGCCTGGCAACTACATTTATAGAATCTCCTCTCAACAGAGTTCCTTGCTGCCACTGAGAATCACGCACATGAAACACTAAAAGAAAAACCATGTTATTGCTCCTCCAGCAGTGGTAGGCAGCCAAGCATGGGTTTCCGCAGTTACAGTGCCCTCATGCATTTCCCTGCAAATCATTACTTAGGTGCTGCAGGTAGTTTGAGCATCTTCAGCTGTTTCCTTCAGAGTTCTTAGGATGTCTTAACTTTCAGAAAGTTATGACAAACCTCATAGTAGTGGCTTTCCCTCATCTTTGTTCCTCTAGCACATCTAATTCATTTTAAGTACCAAATTCCTTGAATGAAATATCTTCCAGTGTGAAACACTAGAGTTGTTTCTGTTTTCCTGACTAGACCTTGGCTGATACATCCCTATTCAGCATTTGGAACTTATTTTGAGGGCCATTAAGGCAAATGGATTGGAAGCAACCCAAACTAGGGGAAGGGTACTTAATTAGAAGACCAAAGAAGAAAACAAGATCAGACATGATGGTCATTTAAACCAGCCTGGTGGGAGTGGTGATGGCTAAATGGTCGAAAGAGAAAATAGTTCAAAACAAGAGGAAAGAAATGTGGCAGCATAGTAACTTTTCAAGCAGATTC